ATCCTTTACAATGTTATGCAGTTTATTGAAATGTTCTTATCAGATTACTCTTATATATGGCGTGGTTTATCTGATGTTCAATATTAGTCTGTCAGACTAATATTGAACATCAGATGATAAATATCAGATGATAAATATTTTATATTTTATTATCTTATTAAAATTGTGATTTGACGGAAAATATTAAATATTAACCTAATTCACAATATGACGCAAATATACTACCTTATACATTCTTCCATTTGAAATATTTCCTACCAGGACTATGGAGACGTTATCAGATAAATATCCTAATTGTTAGTATACGTTAGTATACTTGCTTAAATATTTATTAGTGAATATAAGAATGCTTTTATAAATTTAATTGTATATACAGTGGCTTCAGGTTAACTGGGGCACATCGGGACTAGAACATTTTGGCCGAATTAAGTGGCTGCCCCAATTATGCGAAGTTCCACGTAAAAAGTTAAAAAGGTTTGTTCTTTAAAATTTTTCCCAAATAACTGTCTCGGTTAACCAATGGTCCAATTACCCGGAATCTACCGTATTTTTGAATGCCATTGAAAATTATTTTCAGCTGGGAATATAAATTGAATTTACGTTGGTTTTGGCGAATGTAGAAAAATGCAAAATAGGGTTTTAGTTTATTCCATGCCAAATTTCATCCAAATCCGCTCGTAAGGTGACGTTTCTCCAATACATGGAGGCGTGTGAGTGCTTTCTGCTATGGTCCCATTATCTTCTGGAAATGACCCCGCCCCTGCCAGGGTTCAATCCCCGTCCATCCATCCTGTATAAAATATCTATCACTTCAAAATATTTCAAAGTCAAAGCCGAATCAGTGTTTAGACATTAAAGCATATGACTGTGTATAGGTAAGCGACCAAATCTCTTTACATCTCGGTGGGGAGGTTGAGGGAATTTTCAGATTTCGATTCCAGGGTTTTCCCCTCTTTACCCAGGTTGTACTTAGTAGTCCTCGGCAAATATTATTAGGACGATCATATCGAGGAGAAATTAATAGGCATTCATAAAGAACGCTTGTTAAGGTGAGAATTTCGTACAAAATTGTAGAAGGGATATGAACTGATAAGATTAAATAGAAGGCAATGACATAAATAGGAAGACAATATTAAAGTGCAATTTAAAGAAATGTAGGAGCGTGCAGTGAGTTAATATGGCTCAGGATAAGAACCATTACAAGGCAAATGTGAACAATGTCAGGGATCTTTCGGTTCCGTTAACGACATGGAATTTCTTGGCATGGTGAGTGAGTCAGAAGGCGGATTTGTCAAAAAGAGAATTCGACTCTGCGAGAAATCCTGACCCAGCCTACCAAGGCCTTAGTCACTTCACGGCATAAGCAGTTCTATGAAGCAGTCAGTTCAAATAACAGATGTCTGAATCCATCATCAAGACGCCCTGATGTTACGCGGCGTCTTGACGTAGCTAACAGCAAAGTAGGGAAATCCAACCTTAGCCTGGCAGTTGTATCGCTGGTTTGCTGGAGGCGGCAGTGCCAGTGAACAGGGACACAACCAGTCCTTTGTTCCCCTACAGCACCTCGATTTGGGCTTAATGTAATCCTGGCATTGTCATGCTAAAACCTACAAGAGTCTATCCAGTGTTGCCAACTTCACAATTCTCTCTCAATTATTGGGCGTTGCTTTATATATATTATATATCGTCCAAAAGACTTTGCCCATTATTGTGTACATTACTTCACTTGAATAACAGACAGTTTTTGAGTATATTTATTTGTGTACTCTATATATATATATAACAGACCACGGTGGTCTAGCGGTTAGAACGCTGGCCTTGTAATCCTGGGGGTCTCGGATTCGATTCCCGGCGGTGCCCGAATTTATAACTTGT